TAATGGAATTAGCAACTTGAAATCTTGCCATGTTTCTCAGTTACTTCTTCAGTCTATTTTCTTGCCATGCAAAATCTGTTAAGGAAAAATGAGAGAAGAGCACGGACTGTAAGTGCTAGCCCCCTCCAACCTAGTCCCCTCCTTAAATAGCTGGTAGAACTTTTTAAAGTTATATGATTCTTACAATAGATCCTAAACATTCTATTTGGGAGAAGAAACTCTGGCTGATATCAGTGCGATTTGCTTTCAAAGAAGTATGCTTAATATTTAAATCTCACTGTACATGCTTACTGGCAGTAAACCCTACTGAACTCAGCAGGACTTACTGCTGAGTAAATATGCATAAGATTGTATTGTCAGTTTTTTAGATCTGGGAAAGTAAAAGACAGGCCCTTTTAGGTAAGTGAAAACAATTATGAATTTCACTTGTATGAACTTGTACTGATTAAACTAACAGTTTGACATTCCTATCCTAAAACTTAGGTTTTTATTGTTTCACTGAGGACAGAATCCTATGCATGTTTAGACAGAAAAAAATTGCCGCAGTCCCCAGCATTCCCCAAGTTTTTCAGTGATCAACCAGCTGGTGTCCTTAAAACACACAAAATTTTTGAACCATTTTAAAAACCTTTGATTATGACTATTACCTGCATTGACACTGACCCCATAGAAACAAAGCTTAACAAAGGCCTGCTTTACCACTGCCTCTTGTCTTGCTGTTTCACTGGCTGTTTTAACTAATTTTAGCTGAACTGGTGTTATTATTGATGAATGCAGATGTGGTATCCCGGAAGCTACAATCCTATAGATATTTCATTTTTTATAGAGTATAAATCCCACTGACTTCCATAATACTTAGTTCTGAATAAACATGTGCAGGATTGCACAGCACAAGTTCAGAACATTTAAAAAAAATTGTTTGGGGCTTCATAGGAATTGGGGCAGCAGAGACATTTTTTCCAATTTCTCAGCTACCTGTCAAGGGAAAAATGAAACCCCTCCAATGAAACAGACTCTTGAGAGAAGTAAGGGCCAGATTAGATGTGATGACAAATACAGTGCTAGAAACTACGTCTGTTTATTAAAACAAGACAGAAGAGTAGTAGTGATAATATTCAACAGGATGGCAGTACATGGGAAGAGGTGCTCCAAACCATCCTTCATGAGCCATTTCGTTCTGCCCCCATACAAACATATATCTCATTGGCTTTTCATAGAGTAGAACTTATCCAAATCAAACCCTGAAAGAGCTCCTATGCCTTAAAGTAGAAGTGGGAAACCTTCTTCAGCCTGAGGGGCGGAAGCCAACGCCAGCTTCCACTGGTGGATGCCAAAGTCTGCAGGGCAGTTTTCCAGCCAGAAGAGTACAGATTTCATATAGCAAAGATCTAGTCCAAATTCAGTTATCTGTAGCCACCCCTCACTCCCATCCATCTATTCATCATTTTTGCTCTCACACAAGCATATTCCACATGCGTCCCATGCATCCATTCATCTCTCTCTCTCTCTCTCTCTCTCGCACGTGTGTGTGTGCACATGCACATGCACACACACAGAGGCACTGTTTGCATGTGTCTGCATAGGGTGGAGAAATTTGATACTGCACGGAAGATAATTCCTAATGCAAACATAGTAGAGAAGTTGGGGCGTGTGTGTGTGTGTGAGAGAGAGAGAGAGAGGGAGAGAACATGAGCATGAACTTGAGGGAGGGATGCATATGGGAAAAAACAACCAGTGAGAGTAAACAGGAATCTCAAGTTCTTACAGAAAGCTTTTTTTATTATTTTCAGAGAATATGCTTTCCTTTGTTGGAGACCATTAATCTTCTGTTAGATGTATTAAAAACACTGCCCCCACCTATTTCTTTGCCCAGAGTGAAGGCTGGCCTTTCTAATACATCTAATAGAAGATAATGGTCCCCAATAAAAGAAAACATATTTTTTTAAAATGCAACAAGCAAAAATACAATGCTTTCCACAGACATCTTTTCACTCTCTCTTTATTTTCTCTCACTGGTCTTTCATACATTGGATTACAGCATCAGATTCATTTACTCATAGTCTGCAGCAGCATTCTATAGATATTTAAAATTCAGGAACTTAAAACAGGAATGGAATGTGTCAGAATCCCACCACACCTAACCAGCATAGCCAATGGTGAAAGATGCTGAGCTTTACAATCTAATATATGGAAGGCCACATCTTCCTCAAACCTGACTTAAATCAACCCACTGGACCTGAAAGAACACACATCCTAAAATTGTAGGCTCCTCATACACAGACGCTCATAAAAGATAGTGACATTCTGGTGATATTCTGCAGTCAGCATGAAGTAGTGGTTAGAGGAGCTGACTATGATTAAGTGGACCACGAACAAATCCCCCCTCAGTCATGAAACAGCCTAGGAGACTTTAGGTGAGGCATTATCTTTCTGCCAAACATACCTCATACTGTATTCTTAGGATAAAATGAAAGGGGAAGATCAATTGATGTTGCCTTGAGCTCCTTCAGGGAGAGAAAATGAATAAATAAAAATGCAATGTGGAATCCATATAAATCAGTTGTGCTTGCAGGGAATAAACTGAATTCAGTAACCCGCATCAAATGCTACAAAGAGTAGAGAATTTTCCTCATAGGAAAATGCAAACGCTAGAGAAAAGTTTGCAAATATCTAGGTGTTTGAAAAGACATCTTAAAGAGCTGAGAAAATCCAGGTTCCCGTTCTCTAGTGTTTGCATTTTGCTGCTCAGTTCATGGCTAGATGAAATGTAATGAGTGAATCAATCCTTAGTGAATGACAAGCATCGGTGCAGCATGGCGCATGGTTTTTTCTGTAATGCCATTTGTGCAGTGTCCAGTGCTAGGTCAAAACAAATGTTTGCTCACATTAGGGATGTCCTGCCAAAAACAGAGGTTAGTTTAAAGGAATAAATTTGTGTATGCTGGGAAAGAAGGCAGCTTCCCTCTTCCCATCAAAGCTGTTCTAGACAAATCTGGAGACAGAAATTTTTTATTGCTGCTAGTTCCAAATAGTCAGGATTAACTGCTCCAAACATAAGAAAGTCTTTATATTCTGTAATAAATGTGGAGTCATAACCAGCTGTCAAGTATCCATGCAGGTCATTATGTATCTTGCAAGTCTTCCCCAGATCCCTACTGCTACAATTCCTGTACTTTATTTGCCAACATCCTGGAAACTCAGAGCACGCATAGAATTGCCCCCTTTTAAATTACTGTGGCCGTGTGCCTCTCCAAATAGCATAGCATGCAGAAGTTTATCATGGGAAATGTTTCCTGGCATGGAAATATCTAAGAGGTTTTTGAATATCAGAATATCAGATTGCTCTTAAAGCAAAGCAGCAGGGCAAGTTGTGTGTGCGTGTGCGCGCGCGCGCTCGCGCATGTGTATAAATTGCAGACCTACCAGAATTGTTACAAATCAAGTTTATACCTCATGTGTTGTAGAGATTTTAAAGTGAGTGGGTAATATTTGATGAAATTGCAGAATCAAAAGTTTATCATCTGAGTGGTATTTCCAGTCAGCAGTGTTTTATATAGCCCCTTGCTATTTTATATAAGCAGCATAACCCTTACAGTGTCAGTCTTGTCACCCATCTGGAGGAACTCTGTTGCTGCTCTTGATAGTAGGGGAAGGCTGTAAGATCCTGCCGTGGTTTTAGAAGGTGTAGAGCAATAATGCTCAGATAAAACAGTCACTTGGCTGAATTCGAGCTGTCCCAGCTCCCACTGTGGATTTCCTCCTGCTGTTGGCTCTCTGATATTCTAAACTGTGCTGTTAAACAAGAAAAACAGTACAGAGAAAGGGTTAACTGCCACTTTCTCTAGGGGTGGATCTGATACAAATTCCCCCTCCTTTAAATTTAGAAGGGAAACAATGAGAGATTCCATTCGTTAATATCTTGGACATTTATGCTCTAAATTATTTGCATGAAATGAGCAACATAATGGAGTCTTGTGATGAGATTTTCACTTTAAAGAATGGAAAAGGACAGAGAGTAACTCCGCAGTACCCTTTCTGCTTGGAAAAAGAAATGCTTTGAGAGCAAAAAGAGAGAGTACTTGTTACTTGCTAGTCATATTGGTCAAGCTGTTAAATGGCTTATTGCACTTCTCATAAAGTACAAATGAACACAGTGTTCAGTGGATTTTATCCCAGTGACATCTGTCTCTCTGAATCAGTCTGGCTACTAGTCTCAGCCCATCCAGGTGAGGTCAGTCCAGAATCTGTCCAGGAATTAGAACCCACTAATATCAGTAAAGCCATTTTATCTTTCAACATCTAGGAATTCTTTCTTTTTGATGCTAAAATTCCAAAATGTATGGATGGCACAAAAACTTTGGATGCATCCAGACTAGATTTTTGGGGGCAATTAGACTGAATTTAATAGAAGGTCCAGACAACACTGTTTTCTACTTGTAATTCTCTTGTGTTTTCCTATTGGTTTGTCTTTCCACAAATAATCTTTAAGGAAGAAAAGAAACAATATTCCTTGATTGGTAGCACTAGTAATCTTCCATCTGAAAGTGTTCTTTTACATATTTGTGTTAACATTTAATATTTATATTTAATGTGCACTTTGCAGTTTGTTATGAGAATAGGTCCCATATGGAAACTTTAGCATAAAAGGAAACCTACGTTTTTAATAATAACTTTCACTTTCTGAAAATTTAGACCTTGCTTATCAGTCAAAACTTTGAAATAATAAAATACTACTTCCCTTAGACCATTCCTTCCTCAGAATGCTTGCCACAGTTGGTTGTTCTATACATGTAGATAATCAGTTGTTAAGTACAATCACTGAAGTTTTGTGCCCTCACTGAAAGGTAATGTTTTCATGAATGCAGTTTGGCTGAGCAGTTACACTGTTTTGCTAAGAGTAGGAAGAAACCACAGTGCTTATAGGTAGGATGGACAAAATTTTTAATTATCAATCAATCAATTAAACATAATACAAAAATAATTTTAATTTTATTTTGCAGAAATAACTGACAATGACAACAAGCCAGGCAGCAGCCAGCAAAGTCAAAATGGCACTATAAGATGGGCTACATCACTAGAAAATTTACTGGAAGATCCAGAAGGCGTCAAGAGATTTAGGGTTGCTATCTTAACTGCTATTTACTACTTATGTTTAATTATATTTTCCAATAATGTTTTGTATCTGCTATATTGAATGGTGTTGTATTACCACATTATGAGGATCAAGGTTGTACATATAATTTATTCTGAGGTTGGCCTGAGCAAATTCACTGGGACTTCCTTGGAATAAAGGGTATGTGAGGATCACAGCCAAAATACTTGAGTTGATAGGTCTTCCTTGATTGGTTTGTATTTGAAGAAAGTATGAAAATATTTGAAAAGGAGCTTGAAACTTAACTCATTCAGAACTGAAGCACGAAGACTGGTAAATGGTTAGTTAGCTGTTCTCAGACTGAACACGAAGACTGGTAAAAGCCACCTGTGACTTCCAGTTTGGCATGTTGGTGGTACATACTGACATGGAGATATAATAAGAGGCTAACAAGTGTTATGGCCCTTGAACTGAGCACTTTAATGTTTATGGAGTAGATGGATGCTTTAGCATATGAAGCAGCCTCATCCCATTTTAGACCTTCAGTCTGTTGCTTTTTGCCATACTGATAGGTACTGCAATACCAGTATAAGCTTGTAGGGTTGTCAGACAATCCTGTTTGTTTTGCTTTTGTCTAAGGCCTTACCTTGCAGTCCCTATTCAAGGTATTAGTGACAGCCACTGAAAAACCTTTTCAATTGTAAGCATATGGTAAGTGTTAAGAGGCAACTGGGGTTCCTTTCTGCACAAGCACAGGGTTCAGACTGGATATTAGGAGTGTGGAAAACAACTATGGTGCTACCTCTCTCTTGCATAAAGTACATTACATAAAGTTCATTGCAAAACTAAAATTCAAGTTTCACTTGTATATATATAAACTTGTCTTTATATATACCAAGAATGAGCAACTTCAGAAGGCCCAGGGAGCAATTTTCACCCCCTGGGCCCTACTTCTTTGTGATAAAGCAGCAAAAAAACCACATTTCAGCTTTACAAGAAGGTGAGCACATGCTTTGTTGTAAGGGCAAACTACACTCCCAGAAGACATAGAAGAACACACATTTTCAATTGACTTAGATCTATATTCTTTTTGTCACCATGCAGCTGCTGTGCCACTGAAATTGGTAACATAGCTGCCCTTTTGGGGTGTTGGTGGTCACAAAACAAACCAGGGACCACACATAATCCACAGGCAAAATGTTGCCCACAGGTGATATACAGTTAAATATTAATATATTGTGTTCAACCATTCCTTTTGGCTCAATTTAATTTGTTTTAAAGTACAATCCTATTTAGAGAAATACTTTTGCTTCTCATATATTTCCTATATAAAAAACCTTTGACATGACTGTATGGATCGACCAAGCTTTCAGGTGTTCCCCAAGGCTGATCTTACTTATTTGTTGTAATTTGTATTTATCCCATTGTGGAACTCCCAATGGCTGTACACATTTTCTAGGCGGTCGTCTCTCCAAGCACTGACCAGACTGAGGCTTGCTTAGCTTCAGCAACATGGCTGCCTCATGTGGGGCCTTATAAGTTTCAATTTGAAACAAATGGGTTTTCCTTCTCTGTAGTTAAAAAGCTAGAATTTTGGAGCTAGGTTATAACGTCTCTCTCTCTCTCTTTCAGGAGTTTTTAAAGAGAGAATTTAGTGAAGAAAATGTTTTGTTCTGGATAGCATGTGAAGAGTTTAAGAAGATACAAGATAAGAAACAGGTACTGTATCCAAAACCAAAGACTGAAAAGATTCTAATAGAGTTTTCAGACAAATCTGCTTAATGAAATATTCATCAGGTATGTGAATACAAATTGGGTCAAACCACATGTTACACGAGTTGTGTGGCATGTAGCAGAGGCCTCTTTTACTTTTTATGCTTGTGTAAACGTTAGCAGCCTTGAATCAAATTGGGACCGTGGTGGTCTGGCATGCAAGATTAAACCTTCCCCATGTTTTCCCCCCAAATCTCCCACATGAGGGTGCACAGGGAAAAATTTGGTAGAGGGAGAAAATTAGATCCTCCCATTCAGAATGTCATGGCACCAACCCAAATGGGTTCCATCAAAGTTTATGTCAGTGTAAAAATAAGAGAAGTTTCAGCTATACTCTATGCTGTTAGCATAACACGTAATTTGGGCTGAGGCATCAAGAATACAACATTACAGTAGTTCCTGAAATTATATATATGATAATGCCTGTGGTTGATGGATTTTAAGTAAGACCACGATCCTTGAATTCTCCTACTTACATCTAAAAATAAAAAAATTCCTTTTTATTGCATATTAAAATAGATTTATTATTTTAATGCTGTTTATTCAGTGCTGTCTGACACTGATGCAATCATATTCCAATCACATTTGCAATTGACATGATAGCTGTAGAAAAAATGCTTCCCCTCCAACACCAACAATAACATACTGATATTCGGATGATAGGAATGCCAGCTTCCCTCATCCAGCTCTGGGCATTCACTTCTGCCAAACGCTTCCTAGAAGGAAAACATGAAGCACTGTTTCAGAGCAGCTAGGTTGCTGGTTAGGAGAAAAGAGATTTGAGAAGAGTTATTGATGTTGTAGATCAGCCATGGGCGATTTGTTGCTGTCCAGATGTGTTGGCCAACAACTCTCAGTATACCTTATCACTGGCTAGGCCAAAACAAGTTGCCCACCCTGCCTTAAAGCCAGGATGGAGGCTCTTAAACAAGAATGACGGAAGGACATTATTTTTTGGACTCTTTCTTTGAGAATAACTTGGTACTAGAGTGAAGTTTAGGCTAAAATAGTAGTTTCCCATTGCACATATGACTGCAACTCAGTCTTCCCCAACCTGGTGCCCTTCAACTGCTACCATCCCAGCTGATACAGCCTAATCTGTTTCTTTCTATATAGTGAGTGGAATTCAGGGGTGGTCCCAGGCAAGCTCAGCCCACCTAATTATTATTACCTTTATTTGTGTTAGGTTAACAGAAAACAATAAAAATGATTAGAAATGTAAATGTTAGTAAGGTAATGTCTGTAATGCCATATCTTTATCCTGCAAACATTTACTCAAGAAAAGACATCTGTTCCCTCCCCCACAAATGAGTACAATTGCACATTGCACTGCAGTTTCTGGCATAAAATAAGCAAGGAATTGGAAACTCCTGGAAGCTCTAGGTAGTTTATGAATTAACCTAATGATTTCTCACGGTCTGTTGTTCAGTTCACTCTGTGATATTTAACCCATCAACAATCCAGACTTTCTAAATTCACACATCATATAACAACCCTAGAATGGGATGTTCCTAGGTTAATTGAAAGTTAAAATGACAGTACATGGGAAACAGTATGCTTTCACTTCACTCATCTTCAGCAATTTCTTGATTTAATAAGTCAGAAATTGCATCTGATATGTTAACTAGCTCATTGTCTAGAAACAGACTTCTGGCAACGTGGTCACAAGAAATCGCTCTTATATCCTATTATCCAGTGTAAGATATGTTTTATTTGTTATATAAGGAACTGAGAGATTGCAGGGTTCCCTAAGGATTCTGTTCCTGAGAATGGAAGCATACAGTCAGACCAGTGATATCAGAGAGAGAAGAACCAGGAATGAGCTAAGTGAGGACTAGTATATGATATGGCTTTTAATTCCTGTTGTTTTATTAGGTCCAGGTATTTAACTGTTAATTGTTTTTAACTGTTTTGAATTCTGTTAAAATGTTGCATGGCAAGATATATTTTTTATAATATCCTTTTATTATTATAATTTTTATAATACAATGTATCCTCGGTTTTAATCCTTGTGACCACCCAAGAGCTTTTCCTTTGGGCAGCATGAAAATGACATACAGAGAATAAAATAGGGTAGTGTGTGTAATCACAAATCACAGTGTTATGGTTTGGCCTGCATAGCATAAACATGAAAGAAAGATGTAGCTGCTTGCTGCATCTTTAAAGTAATGCCTGTTTTGGTTCCCATTGAGGTTTTCATTTCTTACTTGTAAATCTGCATTAATTCTTCAAAGGGAGAGTTATCACCCACACATATCGCAACAGGATACTAAAGATATGGATAGCCACTTCATATAGGATGACCCGGACCATACGTAAACCAGTCACACATTCATTCAATCATTGCTCAATTGGCAGAGCCATCCTGTGCCAAAGCAAGCAAGCACGTTGCCTGCTGCCTTTGCCCACTTGCTGCTTCTGCTCTTCAACTGCTCTCATAAGCAGCCCAAGCAACTGGCTCATTTGATGTGACATGTAAACCTGGAATTCTGGGTTGTCGAAAGACCACACCCCAGAGATTTGATCCAGCAACCATGGTTTCAAACCTGGTTTGTTTGTCACTCAGAAACAGTTTCAGGTTCACATGTTGCATCAAGCAGCCCTGAGATGGGGGTGTTCCTGGGCTGCTTAAAAAAGCTGAGGCAAAGTAAACATGGGAAGCGGGGAAGAGGCAACATGCTCTCTCCCTTGTGGTTTTGTGGCTTTGACTAGCTAATGGCTAGTTGCTATGTGTGAACCAGGCCTACTTTTTTTTTTTTTGCTTATAGTGAGATGACCTGTTAAGGCAAAAGCAGGTACTGAATCACACTGATGACATTTTCATATGTGATTGCTTGAGACGTGAAAATGGGCTGGAGTAAACAATATTCATACCAGGAACAGCAGCATGGAGTTCCTGAAGTAGCTGAGATTTCTATTCTTATTCTGAAGTACTTTAATTGGGTTCAGTGAATATGAAATAGGTGTTTCAAATGATATTTTATCTTTTCCAATACATCAAGGACCTTCTATACATTTTAGCTCTTCAATCTGATGTGGTGGCTATAGTTGCTATAACAAGATGTGTTGGTATTTTTCTGAATAATTCTCAGTTTTTGAAGAAAGTAAAGAATCAATATGTTTTGTTTGCATAAAGTTACATATATATTTGCCTATTTGAATTTGTCTTTTCAGATTATCCTATTGACTTCAGTGAAGTTTAGTTATCAGCTGTTATTAAATATGATACTAGTCATGAACTAAACTTTTTCATTTTCGTGATACAGTGTTTCAGTTGCATGATAAGTAGTCTGAAAAGTTTAAGGCAGTGGGTAAACAAAAGATTAAGGTAGGATGACACATACAGGACAAGAGTTTCAACCATGACTGCCAGAAATAACAAAAGAGCAGTTTTTTAACACTGCTCAAGAGAAGATGCAGAAAAGCAAGAGCTATCAGGTTCAAGAAGTAGGAGATTTAAGCTGAATATTATTAGACTAAATGTCTATTGTGAAAACATTTTGGGAATGAACAAAGTTTTGTGGAAGATTTGTGCAATTGACCCTTTTGGATGGTATGGCAATGGATAAGCCTCTGCCAGAAAGGTTCTCATGAACCATGCCTCAAACAAGATTTGATCCTTCAATTCTGCCACTTGACATCTGAAGCAATGGTAACTTTGGCAGCCTGAGGTGGTATGTATTGTAGCTGGTACACTATTAAGTATGTTTTAACAACATCTGCAACTGAAAATCAGTGAGGTCCCCACTAAAAACTGCAGTTACAATAGCATGCCTTAGAGAATAGAGGCATTTGAGAGATTATGTTTTAGACTTTCCACTATTACTGTTATAGAACTGCTACCCTATGCAGCTCTTCCTCTCAGATCTTTTCCTCTGGAATGGCGTGTATCTGAAAATTAGTCACCTCTTGCTCAAGCGGAAATGATTTTGACTTTTCAAAGGGCATGGAATGAATCCACATCTATACTGCTGTTGTAATGCTGGAAAATGACATGCTTGCTGAGTAAACATATCCTTTTCATCACAGATGCACACAAAAGCAAATGAAATTTACACAACTTTCTTATCAAGTAAAGCTTCTTATCAAGTCAACGTTGAAGGGCAGTCCCGTCTGGATGAGTCAATATTGGAAGAACCTCATCCTCTAATGTTTCAGAAGCTTCAAGATCAGGTAATGTTCTGAAATGTTAATTAACTTGTGAAAGATGACTGCTTAGTTTCTGAAAATAACAATCACAGCAACAATTCAGTGAGAAGCAACCAAAAACCTAACTTCCCACATGTCTTGTAATAGGAAGTCCAAAACATAGGTTAACTCACATCCAATATGTTTCTCCAAACTCTTCTTTTGATGGATCTTCCTCTGATTGCATTATTCAGTTTTCCCTAAATCATGTAGCTTCCATCATACTTCCCTTTAATTAAACCCATGACTCTCCCCCACCCCACTTTCTTTCTTTTTCTTTTGGTGGCAAATGCTAGGAAGTTATCAAATGTAATAAATAATCACCTATTTGAGAATGCAATTGGAGAAGGCAAGTGCATTTGGGATGCAGGTATTCTTTGAAGATTAAGAATAGTTTATGGCTATTATACAGGAGTGCACTGTTAGCATATTTCTCATGAACAGCTGATTACCAGCAAAGAAATTGCTTTCAGTAGCCATCTCTTTTTCTTGTTTTGCTACACTAACTAAAAGACTGTCAAAATGGTCAGATTGCTTTATGAGTTTAGTCAAATAAGAAATGAAATTTTAGCCTCAATTATCTCTGTTTAGAGAACTAATTTTCTAACAATCCATGAAAATGCTCACCAAGGGCACCCTTCTTACTTTGGTGAATGTCATTTCCCTCTTCTCTGACTCAAGTGAATGAACAATAACATGAAAATCAGGCAGGGTTTAAAGTCTGTTTGTGCTTATCACCCCAGTTCTAAAAGGGCAGAAATAGAGGAAGCTGACAGGCCACCTCAAATGGCCTGTCAGTGAAATCAGTTAACATCTTTTCTAATAGAAGATAGCAGAACTTTTAATCCAGACTAAAAAGAGGAATGTGGGGGGAGGGAAGACTAGAAGGCAGGCAGGGCAATCAAATTGCAGGTCAGGCTTGCCCAGGTGTTGTCAGTTTCAAGATGCTAACTTGACAGAATAGGCAACCCAGTATCCTCCATATATTTGGGACTACAACTTCCATATGCCCAGTAGGTTTGACAAATGTGCAGAAATTGTAAGAAATGTAATAGTATATCTAATATTAGCACTATTTAGAGTAGTGGAGTAGTAGAGTATTGAACCGAATGGGAGTTAAATTACTAATATTGGTTGTAAGCCAACATCTGGAGGGCACATGTAATTACAAATAAAAGAAAAGCATAATACAAGGCTTATATATAATGTATATATTTCTCCCCTTGTTTGAATCACTTCTTGATGCAGGGCAAGCAACTCATACTATGGCTCCTATACATCAACTGTAGGCCATAGGATGATTTAAATTCCCAGCTCCAAGGTTAAAAACAGAGCTCCGAACTTGGAACTAAGGACCCATGCTCTGACGGTCCCACCTCCCCTCACAGTTGGTGAAGAAGGAAGTACACCAACTGCTTCTGTGTGCTCAGGAAGGAGACCTCAGTTAGAGTGGGTAAAGGGGGCATTTGGGTGGAATGCAAAGGGGAGGAAACCACTGGAAGCTAAAATGCAGATCTGGATCACTACGGAGATGGAAAGTGTAGCTGTGGGTAATCAATTGGATTGTGCACAAATCCTTCAGTTTAGAAAACAATCCTATTCACATGACTTCAGTTTAGGAAAGAAACTCTATTCACTCATATATGTCAACGGGACTTACTTCTGAGTAGGCATGTATAGGCTTGCACTGCAGGTTTTGAAATGCGAGGTGGGGTGGTTTTGAAAGTTCATTTAGGCTGTCATTAGAAATACAAAAGCTGCACTGGCAGATGGATCTTTGATAAGCAACACAAAAAACAAAGCTAGTAATAAGGAAAATCCTGTAATCCATATGAATGTAATACCTTTACTAAGCCAACTGTTTACTCCCACATAAGTGCATTTAGAGACATAGTCTTAAAAGAATGTGGTGAGGAAACAAAGTCTGTAAATATGAACAGGAATAGCAAAAAGTCATTTTCTTTCATCTGCTGGTTCATCTTGTCTCTGTGGTTTTATATATTTTTATTTTTAATTACTTTGTAAGCTGCCCTAAAGTTAGATTTGATGTAGGGCAGTATCAAATGCTTCTAGTTAATGCTGAGATGTTATATTCAGCCAATACCCATAACTATAATGGATAATTCAAGTCAGAAACACCATGATACACATACTTTGGATTAACCTCTGTCTGGAACTGTGAGAAAAGACATGGGGAAAATATAATGAAATAACTGAAAAGTATGAAATGATTTGAGGAGGTATTTAGCTAGCTTGTGGAGGTGGGAGGAGAGGTAAGCCTAAGGATGTAGTGAATAAATGAGCTTGGAGACAATGTGTCCTAATTTCTAAACATTTTTCTTGAGTGCAGGGTCCAATCCCTGAGACATTATCCTTCTGGTTAAAGCTATGGATTATGTCTTCCACATTTAGACCAATTTTTCTCTGATGATAAAATCATCATAAATAAAGATGTATATAGCTTGGGGTCTGAAATACATCTTACATTTTTAGATAAGCAATAATAAAATTTAGATTGACACAGTGCTAATTGTAAATTCCAGTAGAGATGAACTACTTTTCATACTTGTATTTGTTAAACCTGAAGTAGTACTTCAGTTTATACATGTAGACTTAAAAGTGGATTGCAAGAATTTTGTCAGTTGCTCATTGGCAGCACATTACTAGGTGTCAAGTGTTACTGGCCTTTGTTGAGTGTTTTCAAACTATAGTATTAGCATTTAGAAAGGCTCTGGCTGACAGCTATGTATTGTTGATCAATAAGCTTCCAACATAGCATGCATCAAATATTGTATTCAATTTGGATTCTATACGAAAAATAAGTAAGGAAAAAATCTGATCTATTTTTCATCACATTAAAATATGAAATGAAAACAGTTCTTGTTGTTGAACAAAGCATTGCCAAAGATCCTTAGATCTCAACAGCTTAACAGGAAACAAAATTTCCTTTCTTGTTTGGAGACTTTGAATAACTTAAAAAGAGTTCATCAAAGTACCAAGTTCTCAATTAATTTTGACTTGGTTATTCAGTGAACATCCACACAGGCTTGACCAGCTTCTAATAAGAAGGTTCCTTGTTCAAACATCAGTATGTATTTACACCCTTTTGTGTAGAAATGAACTGATCATTAATATTATTTGCTATTCCATAAATTAGGGCTCACAGTCTTAATTATCTTATTCTTACTAAGGATTCCGCATATCCTGGCCATCCCTGCGCACTGGAATTCTTGCTTGCAGACCTCTCCAAGACTACCTTTGTGACCTGCAGAGGGAAGGGTGTGGGGCAAGAGGAGAGATCAAATGCCAGAGGCCCCCTTTTGACCTCATAGCAATGTCTACAGAAGGCACACCTGAAAAATCCAGTAGTCTGAGGATTATGGGAACTCAGTCAGATGATTACAGGCATCCAAACAATTTCGTCTGTATAGTCTATTGCCCCTGCTTACAAGGAGCAGGAACTGAGCCACTGTCAGGATTCCTTGTATCCCAACAGGACCTCCTGCTTTCTGCCTTGCCCTGCACCACTCCCCACCCACTTGTGGCTTCTGAGCCACAGACAGGGTGGAAAGAGTCATACCAGTTGTGAGGGCAGAGAAAGGGTGCACCTCAGTTGGAATCTCAGGACATGTTTCCAAGGTGGGAGCTGGGACCACCCCATAGAACTGTGCCTTTAGTAGGTGTATGTAATGCGAAGTCTCTCCCTCCCTCCCTCCCTCCCTCCCTCTCTCTCTCCCTCTCTCTGTGTTTGTGTTTAATGTACCAGAAAACTGCCATTGCATTTTTCTTCTGGATTCTCTAGTAGTTATTTTGCCTTATTTGAAAGTATTTCATTTTTAAGATATGTGGTCATTCTGGCAGTGTCTTAAAGTGACCATATTTTATTCAGGATGATTATTGAGAAGCATAGTCCATAGTAACAAAATATTTTCCTTTATGCAGGGCATACTTTATACTGATTTATTATTTTGGTTAATGCAATATATTATAGTCTAACAATTTGGGGTCCCATGGAATATTTCCATTACAATGGAAGATCTCCTTTCTTTTTTAACCTTTCCTGCTGTTACTGTGAATGTTTTTAGGCTTCATTTCATAGAGGTTGTGCTGGGTTTTTTTCTTCTTTCCACTCAGATTTTCAATCTCATGAAGTATGACAGCTACAGCCGCTTCTTGAAGTCAGATGTGTTTCTTAAACTGAAGCAAACAGAAGAACAGGAAGAAAATTCAGCAAATGCTCAAACTGTAGCAAAAAGAGCTTCTAGAATTTACAACACATGATCCAAGTGGCAACTTACAATAAATCTCACTGAGAGTATAATGAAAAGCAAATGAGTTCTCAGGAATAGTCTTTGAGGTTAACCCAGTTGTATTTAAACCTTGGAAGTATAGACGCCTGCTAGGTGATGCTTAATGTTAGTTGCTTGAATGGCTTATTTGTTTTTGCCGGATGGCAGCACCAAGCCTTATGAGTCATCTGCAAACAAGAGACTAGGACATTTTATCTTTTGATATTTTAAATCCCTTTTCTTGTGCATCATTCGGGTAAAATGTAGCATACAAATTGTGCTACTTTTGAAAATGGAGATGGTATAAGGAAAAGACATCTGTCTGAAACTGTTTTAGTGCCTGATCCAGACTCTCCACAAATAAATATTTTTTCAAGTTTTGACTAAGAAGGTTTTAATGTTTCATTCTTTGTGGTGAAGAATTTTGTGTTCTTGATGAAAAAGCAGAACAGGAGCTGGTTATTATTTTTTTACCTATCTGGCAAAAATAGAGAAACCTCAGTTGAGGAAAGGAAAGCTTTAAAAGCATGGAATGTTCATCTGAGTCACTGTTTTTAAACCATACCTACCTTTTCCCAGGAACTAATCCAAATAATTACAAAAGCTTATTTTTTAACATGCTTTTTAAAAATAAAACACATGATTTTTCTCTCTAAAAGCTGTTCTCAAAATGGCTTTTGTTTGTTGCTTGGTTTTAAATGTATTTGGGCTGGGAAACTATTATTTTTCAGTTTTCTCACCTTTTCTCTCCATTTTTATTTTGAAATGAGCTTTATTATCATTGACTTTTAAGTACAATACTAGTTTTGTTTCTGGAGAAATGAATTCTTCCTTTACATGCTACAGTAGGCTTTTTCATCCAAGGTCACTTTGCAACTAGCATGTTCTATTTAAAAAGAACTATGTAAGTTCTATGTAAGTTCTTTTTTTCTGTACTTGCAGTTTTCTAAGTGTGGTCTCATGCATCAGTTTACCCAGTGGAATGAAATACACAGCTATAATGCCACACCCAGTGTGTGCATTTCAACTCAATAGCAAGTATGAACAAGATTTAAGTCTTCACTGTTCATTCAATGGAATTTCATCTTGGTTGCCAAATTTCCTCTTTTATGTTACAGACAAGATTCATTTTCACCTGGTTTTATGCTAAAATTACTTTCCTATGCTGCAACATGACACTTTTTTGCCAATCAAACCACCAGGTGATAGACTCACACAGGGCTTACTTCTAAACAAAAATTTCTCCCTGAGCTTGGTTTGGATTTTGCAACTCATGTGACAAGCTTCTCTGTAATTAGAAAATAAAATGACAAAGTTTGGATGGAAAAACTGTTAGCCCCTTCTTACTTCAGCCCTATAGGGTATAACTATTTGTTGTGAGTTTCTTGTGGAACCAAGGTTTTTCACAAAAGATTTGGCATTTGTCTTCAATTAGTGGTTGTAGCAGGGAATTGATGAATTATTGGCAAACCAGCATGCATACAGACATACATAGAATGAGGTGTTGTTGCAGGTTGGAAGTACACTCATGTCATTGTTGTTGCTAGTTGTGAATTCACATCTGACCCATCGCAACCCCACGGACAACATTCCTCCAGGCCTTCCAGGCCTCCACCATCCCCTGGAGTCCACTTAAGCTCACACCAACTGCTTCAATGACTCCATCTAGCCACCTCATTCTCTGCTGTCCCCTTCTTCTTTTGCCATCAATTGTTCCCAGCATTAGGGTCTTCTCCAGGGAGTCCTTCCTTCTCATTAGGTGGCCAAAGTATTTGAGTTTCATCTTCAGGATCTGACCTTCTAAAGAGCAGTCAGGGTTGATCTCCTCTAGGACTGACTGGTTTGATCATCTTGCAGTCCAAGGGACTTGCAGAGTCTTCTCTAGCACCACAGTTCAAAGGCCTCAGTTCTTTGGTGCTCAGCCTTCCTTACGGTCCAGTTTTCACAGCAGTACATTGCAACTGGGAAAACCATAGCCTTGACTATATGCAATTTTGTTGGCAGGGTGAAGTCTCTGCTTTTTAGTATGCTGTCTAGATTTACCATAGCTTTCCTCCCAAGGAGCAAGCGTCTTTCAATTACTTTGGTTGCAGTCACCATCTGTGGTTATCTTGGAGCCCAAGAAAATACCTAAACTGGTTCTGCAGTTTTGTTGCAGCAGCAGCAGCAACACCATACAGGAATATTTGGCATCACAAGGGCTTCTCCCTTCCTGGAGAATTTGTAGCAATGTAAACATCAATTCTGTTTTTAAAAATAAGGGAACAGCTTTAAACTGCAGCCACTGCCGTTTGAAAGTATGTTGGCATGGCAGATGAACATCTGCTCAAGAGTAAAACACATTATGAAGGAATTAATATTTCTTGGTGGCACAGGGTTCAAATGCAATCAAGATACGCTAAAGACTATAGAATGTGGGGCTTTTATAATGAGTCAACAGCATTTGATCATGTGATTCTTAAACCAGATGAGAAAATGATTAAAAGATTGTATCATTTCCTATTAAATAGGAGAATGGAAGATGAACTGGTTAAGGTAACTATGATAACGTGGGCACAAAACTTTGGATATAATATTGAGTTAAAGAAATGGCAAAAGCTGTGGGAAAGAAATATTAAAGTAACATTAGCAACCTCATACAAAGAAAACCTGTATAAAATGTTTTATAGATGGTAATCGTTGCCAAATAGGTTAGCTAAGATGTTTCCAAATATGTCAAATGGATGTTGGAAATGTAAACACAAATCGGGTACTTTTTATCATATGTCGTGGACCTGTGATAAGGCAAAAAAGTATTGGATTAAAATACACAAATGGCTTGAGGAAATGTTACAAAAATCTCTAACATTTAAACCTGAAGTTTTCTTATTAGGCATGGTACCTGATGATCTTAGTAAACAAGCAATGTATTTGACTCTACACGTAACTACTGCGGCGAGGATTGCATTTGCCCAACATTGGAAGAGTGAAGAGCCACCTACCGATGAACTGATTCTAAAAAAAGATCTTGGACTGTGCGGAAATGGACAGATTGCCTTTGTCTCAGAAGGAGAAAGAATATATAGACTTCTATCAAACCTGGGACTCTTTTTATCATTGGCTAGAGAAATGGAACCATGCATGGACTTAAATATGTTTATAGTTTAACATAAAAAGAAAAAATGTGGGGGGCTGACCCAGTAGGTCTGATGTTTTCGATGATTGATGCTTTTTAGTTTCTTTTAGTTAGGTATATTAAGAATAAAACTTATTAAAAAAAGAGTAAAACACATTATGGACAAATTCCTTATTCTTGCCCCACTTTTGGCATACACAATAAAAGAGATTACAATGGAGAGGTAATATTCAGTTTGACAAGCTTTGGAATAGTAATGGTGCTGGAACTGTCAAGATGGATGAAATCTAGAAAATGAAGATTTTGAAAGAACTAAGGAACAGATGGGATATGCAGCTCTTGTAAGGAGTAAAATACTTACATGACAGAAGAAAAACTTTTAGACAATTATAGAAAAATTCCTTTTAGGTCCTTTTATATTGATGCTTTCATGTGGTGTCTGATTTTGTTATGGTATAGCTCTTTGCACAATCTTTAGATTTTGGTGATGCCACTGGAATGGTTCCGGCTTATATTAATGTTCTGAGTTTGGCTATGTTAGCAAATATTTCTAGGCTTGGAGGGAAGCATTTTTTTCAACTTATTTTCTTTATTTGAGAGTATCATTAATAGTGAAATGTAAGAAATAATGAAATAAAAATCTGGTTCTGAACATCATCCAATTCAGGTACAATCATTTCAGGATTCCTATAAGCCCCTGAACATGAGCATCCAGTACACTTCTCCATCCTCTTGCTTTCCATTTTTGCTAGGTGGAATTTTTCCTGTTTTGCTGGGGTATCTCAGATGTGGAGGGGAAGAACCTGGAGTTGCTTCAGGATAGCTTGTATCCTGGTCCCTCCAGTCACTTTCCCCCAAACACCACCTTGAAAACCTCTCTGAGGTCAAGTTCCTAATGTTGGATAGTAGCCAGTTCTTTCCACACCTGCTGTGAGGGGCCATGGGGAGGGGGCAGAACTTCAGTTTCCAGTTCCAAGGTCAGGGATGTCTCCAACTTCTGAATCTTAACTGCCCTGTGGCCCCTTGGATATGTCTAGGGTCTGTGAGATCCTTCCCTCCAGTACCTTCTCTTTTAGGGTAGAGTTTCTTATGGATAAAAAAGTTTTTTTGTCACAATTTTGTTGTATGTTTGCTTTTTTATACTCATTAGTCTGATGCCAAATGACTGTGCTGCTGTTAAACATGAGAAAAGCAGATTGACTGGCACACTTTATTTACAAGTTCTACCATGTGCTGTGTAATTCTGGCTTACATTTTCACATTATTTACCCTATCTTCTTCAATGTGTGGGCTTTATTGCACAATTTAACTTTTACATATTTAAACATTCTGTTCTTCTGCAAGGGCAATTGGATCTGTAGATTATTCTTCCTGGCAGTATTTCTAAAATCTGTGACAGTAAAATTTGCAAGGCAGAGGTGCACGAGTCTGTTGCCACAACATTGGATTGCCACAAGAGGGTATGTATGAAAGGTAACAGCTTTGGTATTCTGCTTTCTTCTTACTACATGCAGGCATGACAGGGCTGTGGTGGAGCCAGCCAAGAGTTCCTGTGCCCATGTTCTGTTTCCCCAGATCCCTCCATGCCAAAGAGCAGCATTAAGAAGGATTTCCTCAGCAAATATATCCAGATATATTCATGATACTTCACAACTACATCACATAACTTTTGTACTTTTACAAAGGCTTTTCTGCATACATAAAGACTAAATCAGTTGTCATTTGTCTTCATGTCTGACTGGCAGCAGAAGTAACCCCTGTTAGATTCTCCTTAAGTTAGATGCTGTACAGCAACCAAGGGTTATAAAGTGACATTTTGCACAAGGGCTCAATTTTCAGAATTGTTTTAGGAAAAGAAATAGAGCAAATCTGCTTTCTCCCATGAACTGCACTGGTATTTCCTGTTTTAAATGAGGTGGGAAAGGGAATTCAAGTGTGGATAGAGAATCAGCAGCTCTTAAAATCTGGTTTGGGAGTACTCCCTCTTGTCTAGCAGTAGCAGCTGTAACACACAAATATTACAATTTTCTGTTGCTTCTTCCTCCCAGCAAATGAAATGGGCAGTAGTGGGGATAAGTGAGCACTGCATGATTAGCTTCGTAAACTTGCTAAGCATATTGGAATGACTAGCTGCCTTTCTGGTTCTGTTCAAGGACCTTCAAGAAATTTATTTTTCAGATGCATCCTGCTGTCAGATTGTCAGCATGGTTTCTGTGAACCTGAAGTCTAACTGGGATTTTGGCTATCCTCTTTCCCCCACTTGATTTTGAACCTTTCTATACAAGGAATTTATTGTGCACTCATGATTCCTCACTAGTATTTTGAAGGCGCTTTACAAAATGCCCTTGTTCTTTTTTCTTTGCACCCATGCTAGGTGAGAAGCAGAGAAGTCTAGTATTTATATGAATGATGCCATGAAATCTTGGTGTTATTTGCACCACCTAATGGCTGTATGATGGAACTAACAGGCAGAGAAAGAAAAAACCTGGTGGAGGAAAGTGTAAATGATGTGATCTTAACTCCACAAAGAATCCTTGTTAAAGTAGAAGGTAAAAAGCTTCACGTATGGCTTTCCTGTAGGAAATTTTTAACCGCCAACTTTATCAAGACTTCTGCTTCCAGATTCTTTACAGGATTAAGATCAACTGGTTTTTCCACAAGGTCTTTTTTTCTCCTTACCAGATATTCTATCTTACTACCCCTGGATGTGCATACAGCAGAATTGCACAAATAGACAAGCATTTCATGCTGGCATGCAGGGATATACAAGACTTTCCTCATTAGGAAAAAAATGATAAACTGTTTGCAAATCAGCTGCGCCCCTACCTGGAGTTCGACTGCCTGGCGACGGTGACACACGCGCTGGTGACTTCCCGCCTAGACTTCTGTAACGCGCTTTACGTGGGGCTTCCCCTGAAGACGGTCCGAACACTTCAATTGGTGCAAAATAGAGCTGCCAGGTTGCTGACGGGGATGGGGCATTATGCTCACATGACTCCAGTCCTCCGTCAGCTTCACTGGCTGCCCATTGAAGCCCGGGCCCAATTCAAGGTGTTGATTATGACCTACAAAGCCCTAAACGGCTTGGGTCCTGGCTACCTGAACGAGCGCTTACGTCCGTATATGCCCGACCGCCCCTTGAGCTCTGCGGGAGAGTCCCTTCTCCGGGAACCCTCCATGAAAGAAATTAGGAGAGTAAGTACTCAGAGGAGGGCTTTCTCTGCAGTGGTGCCCAACCTATGGAATTCACTCCCCAAAGAGGTCCGCCTGGCACCGTCGTTACTGGTTTTTCAGCGCCAGGTAAAGACCTTTTTATTTAAACATCATTTTAATTGTTAAAACATATGATCTGGCCAGGGCAACTTCTTCTTCCTTCTCTTTTCTCCTCCTATATTATTTATTTACTTATTTTATACTGATAATTTTAATTTTATATTATTATGTTTGTAACTCAATGTATTTTTTGTATTTTTGTATTTAATGGTAATTTATTATGTGCTATTGTATT